AAGGAGGCCCGGGGCCCGAGATCGCCAAGCAGCCAGGCAAACAGGATCCTACTAGTGAAGCTTCCTAAAGCCGACCCTTCACCCCAATTCGTATCTGAGTTCTCGAACTGTCTTTCCTACGATGGGGTTAGTGGGATCCCTAGCGCTGTAGCCCCGGCAGCTGTCATCAACCATCCTTCCAGTCGGAAGCTCCTCTGTTTGCCAGTTGCGTGCGAAAAGTCTTCACAACCTTGGCATGAAGGCCCGGCCCTGGGTCGGGTGGGAATTCCGGAGAAATCCAAGTGTTTTATCAGAGAGCTTGGAGGATGCCATTTATTTCCAGGGTCACGCAGATAGGGTAGAGATCGCTGCAGGATCTCTTTTAGAAAGGTCAGGCCGCTTTAAAGCTGACTCGTTTGGGACAGGACATCCGAAGACCTGCCCTGTTTGAACCGTAAGCTCGACAGTTCCGGTCATGGCGCATGCTGAGAACAGCCGACAATCTTAAGGGGGGCGAGTCTCCATGCGTGCAACTGTTGCATCGAAATCTCCCGCTTTCCGCTTCCACGATGGGGTGAATGCCGGAATGTGCGCATGTATGTGTGCATGCAACTGCCTGCATGTATGTGGTGAATGTGCGCAGCTATGCATTCCACGTCTATGCGTGTGTCTTGCAGCTTGCTGTAGGCTATGCGCGTAAGCTTGAGTGACTTTGGACTTTAGTACCCTCAGGAACTTCTTTGCCGTAAATGCCGTTCTGAGCAGAAAGCATGAACCACAGCTCGACACGCAAAGGCTGCAAGGTCACCACGACGGATCTTCCACAAATCCACACGTGGGTTTTTGCCGCATGTGTTTCAAGGTCGGGAGCTTCGGTGGAAGGGCATTGGCAAAACACGCTGGACTTCCTGCCTAACCCAGTGAGAGGAAGCAAGCCACTTGATGCTTTGGCCAGTGCAGGGCGGCAGGATGATCCTCATGGACGTGTTCCTCGCCTGGTCTTTGCAGTACCAGAAGGCCAAGATCGTCTGAGCCTAAAGCTTTGGCGATGATTTTCCAGCCTTGAACTTGAAGCAAGACATCCACACAGCCGCAATTGTACGAACGAGTAAAAGCTACAGATGTGTTGTGAAAACATCCATCTAGACTAGACGGCCTCAGCCATAGTAGCATTCCAACCACAAACCATGCGTCAGGAAAAGAGTTGTCAAAAAATGACTACATGGATGCCTGACGAGTGTTTGGCTCACCGGTGGATGGATTGGATAATGTGCGATGGCCTTCAAAGGTGCTCAGTGTCCCGAGGAGCTTTCCAGATTAGCTAGTTGCTATGTAATTACATCTATATGTGCGCGAAGCATGGTATCGCCAACAACGTGGGAACAACGCTTTGGTCAGCCTGTACCGTGTTCCCCCACTCTCGTCTACTTTGACCAGCTGAGGCAAACGCCCACAAAATGAACGAGTCCCGCACCCAGCATGACGCAGTGTATCATGTCCGGTGTGGGAAGAGCTATAACGGCAGGCCTAGGAAATCTGCAGTAGATGTATGTCTCTCAGTGCTCGGAATCTTGTACCAGACACTGGAATTGTTTGTGCATCAGCGGTGTGTGAATCCCTTGTCCAGAGCATGTTTCGCCTCTGATCTGCGACAGCAGTGGTTGGAGGAGTCGTCCTGCTAATTTTCCTTGCTCAAGGCCGGTCGAACGCCAAACTCAGAATTGAAACGGCGGTCCTAATCGGCCAGTGGTCGACCAACTTGCCTTAAGATGCTAGGGCAGCTAATGTATCGCGGCACCTTCATCCACCTCGAGGAAGACACGCCCGAGGAGAGCAGCCGCCGCCGCGTGCGAGCTTTGAGTGCTCCCAGTCGAAGCCTCCAAGGTTCCGAAGGTTTGGAGCATGATTGGCAGCAGAAGAACGTCGCACTCCAGAACTATGTCGGAGGATTGCTTGCTGAACCAACTTTTGGCAAGACGTCCGAAGCATCCGAGTCTGAGGGGGACGTGGCCTCTGAAAGCGACGAGGAAAACCTCGGCTTGCAAGAGGAAGACGCCGTCGGGGTGCGACTGAACAGAGGAAGTTTGGGCCACCCTGGGCTATGTCGACGTCCCTGCGTCCACTTCGCCAAGGCAGCAAAGCCATGCTGTCTTCTCGTTATGATTCTTACTTTATTACCGGTTGACACTTGATGCAGAGGTTCCGCAGTACTAGTTGGTACTAGTACAAGGACTAATACTAGTAGTAGTAGTAGTAGTAGTAGTAGCAGCAGTAGTAGTAGTAGTAGTAGTAGTAGTAGAGTAGCAGCAGCCGCAGCAGCAGCAGCAGCAGCAGCAGCAGCCGGAGCAGGAGCAGCAGAATGAAGTAGTAGAAGTGCAGTCGTAGTGGTAGCAGTCATAGTACTACTCACTAGAAGTTGTGGACGGTGAGCCGTGAGCACGTATCCGTCCATCTGTTGCTTTCCAGACACAACACGGAAAGTGATCAAATTCAGCAAAGGGATCACTACGTGGGACATGCGTCGTGCTCTTGCATCAGAGTAGGGTGTGGCCAGATCTCGACAATTTTTTTGTTGGACCTTGTGCTGCTCTGATCACAATGACCCAGTGCTAGTTATTTGTCAAGCACCTTCACTCTGTTCCAGGTGCAACCTCAAGAATGTCTTGCCCAATTTCTGTAATCGTTTGAGCACTAGCCGAGTCCATGGAGTACTATATCCCGGCCCAGCGGATATCACTACGCAATAGCAATTCCCTTCAATGGGTTGTCTTCCGACCAAGATCCCCAATGGATCAGGCTGGATCGTGTCTACAAGGCATGGCATGTACATTCTGCCACCTTCCCCACACCCGTGAACGCAAGCAACCTGGCGGCATTTGGCATGCCACAGGTGGAGGGGTGATGAGCTGCATGAGATGGTCTAATCATCGGCTAGCAAGGCAGAGGGGAGCTTGATTCCTGGTGTGGGAGGAGGGATTTGGAAGTCAGACGCATCAGCCTATACCCCTCTTGCCTATCCCATCTACCTCGGTCTCTGTGATGAGGCCAGAGACACTTCGAAACCAAGGGCGACCTGCCCCTAAGGCTTGACAAGTGGCACCGTGCTCTCCTCCGCCAACTTGACAAGGCTGGCGGCTTTGGCAAATTTCCATCCAGTCCGTTCAACCTCAACGGCATTGTGCTTGCCTTGAGATTCTCCTTGGAGTGTCATCGCAGATTCCATTCTGCTGACAAGGGCGTAACACTTCGATTTTGCCGACATCGGTCATCCTACTTTCATTTGTGTTGCAATCTCTTCTGCTGCAGTCGTCGTGGTTGCTGTGGCTCTTGCTGCTGCTGCTGCTGCTGCAGCAGCATTTTGTGTGACTCGCAAGCCCCGTGCTCGCGCATGCACGCACACACCCACGCATGCAGAGACAAGATGCAGACATGACAGGGCCTGGAGGAGGTTGTCAGAGTTCTTCGCGTGGCCAGTGAAAGATGCCCACACGGTTTCGGATCCGCTTTCTCCAAAGGCTTTCGCAACTTGATCCATGTGCCCCCGAATCCTGAAATTCCCCGAAGCCCCAAGCAAACATCTGCCACACCTAGATCCCAAGCCCATCCAAGCCCCAACCGAACGAAACCTGGATCGACCTGGTCAGACCGATTATCTCCGCCTGCTGCAACAGGCCTCTTGAGAGAGTGGATCAAGGGTCTCAGTTCTTGGGTTTGGGGGCCTACGGAAGTTTAGAGTGTCGAGGACCGGAAGTACCCGTGTGTGCCTCTAGCGATTCCAGAAAGTCTGCATGGAGCTGCGGGGGGTCAGCTCCTCCATGCTCCTCCCCGAGGTCTCCCTGAGCAGAGTGAAGAGACTGTCCGCGAACACTGTGCACTACGCTAGTGTACACTTCTCTTCTCACGTGCTAGATGTATGTAGAGTACATGTACAATTAAACATAACACCTTGCCCAAAGCGACGTGCAGGGTGGTAGAACGACAGGCATGTGCTATGTACTGTTATGTAGAATGTAGAAGGCCTTCTGCCCTCCTGCAGACCGCAGGTGATCTGGAAGAAGTCTGCATCACTTTCTTTTCCACGCAAGCAGGCTGGACTTGTTCCATGCCACCATGATCCTGCAAACAAACGCGTTGTTTGAAGAGGTGACAAACAAGTAGTTTTTGCTGTGAACTTCCATAGAGAATGACGGAGGGAACTCCTGTCGGTCTGTATGCGTGAAGGAGCTCATTGATGTCCTCGAGCATGAGATTGAGGCAAGAGCACATTCCCGTGTTTGGGGCGATGCAATCCAGTTCAATCCAGGAGCTGCTCGGGTTTGGTCTCCAGCTGTTTCGCTTCAGGCCTCGCGCACTTTCGGGAGGCGCCCGAAACCCTAAATGGCACTCGAATCAAATCGCACGAGGCAATTGAGACCTTGACGTTCTGTTGCAGAAAGACATTCTCACGGTGCTGAGCCCACCGTGCCTGAGAGGTCGTTGAGATGGACCAGGGGTCTCGTGCCCCTTGGACATATGCGTTACGAAATTTTGAACCTCCGGCCTCGTCTTGGACCCACATCATGCCAGCGAATGCAGCAGGTAGTATGTGGAAGGCATTCACACCTATTGTATTATTACCCATGAAACAGCATGGGAACGGGTGCTTTTTTTCTGTTACATGCTGTTGCTGCTTTCTTTTTTGTTGTTGTGCAAGCCCCGGCGAACCAGCAAGTGAGTGAACTGCCGGTGGGGGCC